AACGAGAATTATCATACTTTATTGTAGACAATTTTCATAGACGGGCTTTTAAACGCCCTTAAATTTCCCATAAAACGCAGGAAGAGTCAAGAGCCGGTTTTAGTCGCCCCCCACTTGAATCTCTGCGCACGTACACGGTCTGAACGTTCCATTTCGGTGGGCAAATACAAAATGTAAACAATTTCGCTACCGCTTAAAACGGATGCGCTTTTATTTTTATTCATATTTGTCGTCGCACAATTACTCAGTTTCAACAATCGTTTCGGGCGTCACGGATAAATGGTCAATGCAGAGGAATCATAGGCCGATTAAGTTTAATCGAGAAAAATCATCAACTGCCATTGAGCGTAGATAACAATTAGCAGCTACGACGGAGCCTATTCCAGTTTAATTATCGTTATATAACCGTCGAGTGGTTTCCCTATGAACGTTCGTCATCCACCGGGCGCGTGAAATAACTGAGGAGTAAGTCATACTGTGAGTGCCGATCGGTTATCATCATTTATCATTTCTTTGTTAAAAATCGCCGATGCCCACTTAAGCGCCTGTTGATTGAGACGTTGTTTCATAGGTTCAGCAATAGTTGATTGTAACTAGAATAACAAGATAGCGACGAACAATAAAACCAACGTCATAACGACGCTCAACAACTCCATTAAGGTATGGTACGTTTTAATTGTTCGGTTCAACTACGAAATACTGTCGAACCGGAATACTCGGACCACTACTATTTGTGTTGACATTCCACGGCGATGGACCGAGTTATTGTATTGTTTTATTATAATAACCGCCACCGGTTTGATTGGTCAACGCCGCCAGTTGTCAGTTTCCGGTGTTTATTTATTTGATCGTTGCGCGCGTTCGCTCGTGATGATAATAATAATAGAACGACCCGGTGGAATTTTAAACGATCCACTCCCCTCGACGTCTGAGTTTGTGTGATATTATTGTTGTTGTTATAATATTTTCTTGGCCGTCAGCAATTAACGTTAGTGAGAGACCCCCACACACACACGAGCGCTTCGTGACTAGGTCCTAACGATTCATTGTTGTTGCGTTTCCTATGCGTGTGTACGGTGGCCATAGGATGCCTATGGTTTGCCGTGTGTGTCTACCGTGTATGTGTTTTTTATCAGGAATCCGGCTCGCTTTCCCGGAATGGTGTGCCGGGCAAGAGGACCCCGAGGGGTACTGCTGCCCACACACGCGTGTACTTTGCAGTAATGATGTTACGGGCGAGTGACGGTGAACTGCATGCAAAAAGGACGTGCAGAAACAAAATATGAAAACGTTTCACAGGACTCGGCGACGGTGTAATCTAAACTCGTCATTGTTTTATTGAAATTTTATATGTGCGGATAATAGAGACCGACAGTGACGTTTGTTAGCGTTTCTGATGTGCCGACCCGTTTGAACAATGCGTTTCTATCTATGCGGTCGCAATAAACATGTGATTGCTAATAGTTCTTAGAAAAATACCGTAAAAACAAAAAAATAATCGCGTGTACCTTTTTGTAGTTCAATTAATACGATTAGACGCGGTTCATTGCGCACGTTTGTAACTAACATGAAGCGTTCCGGGAACTGTTTATTCGCTAAATTAGATTAGTGCAAATAAGATATTTTTTTCGTGCAATAAAAACATCGTTATTACCGATTTCCATTGACATTAATTCCGAGTGCCGATTTATTTGTTGAAATGAAACTAATAGGGCAATAATAAATGTGTACAGAAAAAAACACAAACAACTTATTTTCGACATGTTTACTTTTGCCTTCTGTGTTTTAGTACGCAGAATTTCGGTTCATAGACCAATTCAATNGTGTTTTAGTACGCAGAATTTCGCGTCATAGACCAATTCAATAGACTAAAACTCGGTAAGATAATGCAGTAGGTGTCCACGTGTTAATAAACCTAGTGTTGAGAAGGTTAATTAGATAATTGAGCACAATCTTTCAAGAATGTCGTGTTAAACGGCATTAAATAACGGGCACCTAATTACGCAAGTGTTTGCTCATAAAGTTAATTTCAACCAAGTGAGTAATCGAATCGTTTCATTAAAACTACCGATGCGATTTCTTTCTGCAAATTTCATTTTTTTATTATTTGTTTAATTATTACACAGTTTTCGATAAACACGGAATTAACGTTATGAAAATTATAAGAAGACGACTTTCTCCGTGTTAAATTAAAAATAAATTCAAGAGTTTGCACAAAATAAAGAAATTAGTTCAATGATATTCATTTTGATTTTAATATTCGATAAGGACATAATTATTTAATCGCCAAATAATGGTCATCATTTTTTACGGCCGAAATGCAAAAAATGTAAAATTACTCATCTGCTAAAGTAAAGGGAAATTGTCGAAAAGGTCAATAGAGAAAGACCAACTGTGTGCCAACGAAATATTCCAAAACAAAATTTGACTAATTAGGTAACTGTTATTCGTTTTGTCTCAACTTCTATTGAAATTTATATTTGCATAAAACAAGCTCCTTAATCCGATACATTGTAATAGAGTACATATAACAGAGATAAATTTTGGTAATTTTTTTTATTTTAAAAGAAGATTTAAGTGAAAAAAAATCCGTCTTTATTATATTTACATATTATTGAATTAAAAATTTTGTTTATGTATATATATAGGTAATTTTTTTTGTTTAAACGTGTATTTACTGACAGCGATTTCATCATAATTCCTTGTCTCTAAGTAATTCACTTTTTTTTTTTTTCAATAATTTTATAACGATTTCGTTAACGATGATTATTTAATTGCCAATGATACACTGAAAAAACTCCTTCGTAATATCAACTAATTTTTTATCAATATATGTCCGATAATATATTTGTTAAATAAATAGTATTCTTAAAATAATAATTTAAAGAATAGTATTCTAAAAATAATAGTTAAATGTACAAAAACTATTCGTGTAACAAAAAGTTTGTTGGGCGTAATTTGACAATGCATTTGTTGATTTCACCGGTGGATTTTTTTCCAACGTATTAAGTAGACGTTCTCAAAAGGTTGGTAATGTGATTAATTTGCCGTTTGTATAAAAATCACTGCGCCCGGCCGAACAAATGCTGTAAATGAAACCGTCGTGTGATAGACGTTTCGTTATGTTACGAGGTGAACATGATGTTTCTTCTGTCTGCGGTGTAGTAAAGTTCGTTTGAAAAGTTACTTGAGCAAATTCCATTCCGTACAAACTACGGCTGATAAATTAGTGGAGTGAGTAACTCGCTTAATTGCGTTAATGTTTCGGAAAAGTTTGGGAAATCTTCTTATCTTCTCTTAATTAGCTCGTAGACGTCAATTGACCGGGTCGATAGTTCCGAGCACAACTATTATCGCGTCTTAAATAATTCCGATCGCTTGTTAACTCGAACCCTTTTGTCTACAGTCCACATCCGAGTGGATCAGATCGAAAACTTCACCTCCCCGCGATGGGACCCGCCGTGCAATCGAAAAAGCAATCGCTGGTTTTATTTCGGAATGCAGTTGGCAATGCGCGGCCCTCTTCGATTATCGTTTTAACGGTTCACAAACAACATATTAATATATAAAACGCACAACATGGAAATAATGTGTTGGTACATAAGAGGAGGATATTCGTCGGAAATCCGGCGAGTCTAAAAACCTCACGTTTCCGGGATAACGCGAAAATAAAACTCGAATAACTTACAACGATATTGTTTCCGAATTACCTGCCCTCCCCTTGGTACCTAATTTTCTGTTTAGTTATTACTGCAAATAATAGCGGTGTTTACGAATCACGCGCAGCTCGAGGGTTAGTTTAAACCCTAGTTCGATTGAAATGTATACAGTCGGTTTTTAATGAACGCGGAATGTGTACCTACTTCTTCATTATTACCTTTTGGACGCGTGTTACCGTCTAAACGTACAAATGTTGTTATTTTATTGCCATAAAAAATGAAAACGATTCGCGCATTTTATAATACATTTTTTCTCTTACCGATTCGAAAATGTGCTCTTTTTTTCTCTATGTTTCCATATTATTAAACGCTCTCGTTATCAACTATAAAAAAATGTATTTATCAGAGACGCGATGAAAATATTTCTATGGTAATTCGCGTACAAATTAAGCAACGAGTGAATAGTATATTTTTCGTTGATGGCCAAGTAAGATTTTTTAGCCCGACCCAATATTGTAAGACACTCGAAATGTGCTGTTTTTCTGCTATGTCGGTTCTCGTAAGAACTTTGTTTGTTTTGGCAGAGATAGATCGTTGTAATTATTCAGTATTTCGTTTCGACAGTGCGCAATTATTGAATCGGTCATAAATTAAGTTAAACTCGCGAAGACCGTATGGAGTACTCCGAATTAACTATGTGTAGACGAGTCCATTAGTCGATAACGTGAATAACTTGACAATTTCAAAACCATACAATGTTGTTGGGTTTTATAATGTTAACACTGTTACTGTTGTAATCTAAATGTTTTATTTGTCGAGTCTTCTTATTGAATTTATCGAACCTTAAAATGTTCCTTGGCGCGTCCTTGGCTACATAAATGACCAAACTAAAACTATTATGTCATTCCGTTTGACTCGTATAGATTGGTGTTTAACGAGCGGTGAAAGTCTTTAATTACCACAATAAAATCAACCATCAAAGAGGATGCGGCTGTGAAGTCTGTACAAAATGACGAGTGGCAAACTAGTCACGACGAACACTATTAGTTAACGGAAACCACACTGTTGTTGCAGTGTCGTCATACATACCGACCGCCGAGTAGGTACTCCTCGAGCACGACGATATTTTTCAATCCCTTTCTAAGCGCCGCGCCCTCGTCTACCGCCGCACCTTTGTCCGCCCACCGTTTGGATCCGTGCATCATCTCGAGAAATGTTCTTAAAAACGGTGTTAAAAAGCGACCACGTATTTTCAGACCACGCGCCATCCAGTGACACCTAATCCTCCCAGCCGATTTTTTACCACACGACGATAATCGTGCACAATTCAATGTGTTCTAGGCCCACGGTAACCCGCCCTCATGTCTTTTTCGGTTTGCGTCAACATTTGGCCAGGTCGTCCGTGTGCATATTTGATTGTCAACAGCTGTGTACTCGATGGAACCGCGTAGGAGGTCGCGATGCCGACGACGCGTGTCGCCCGGGCAAACGTAAACTTGGGGCGGATGGCCACTTGGACCCGGTGAATAATTATCTAATAGTGTTCGTGATATTGTTGTTCCACAGTGCCGCCCAGTCAGCACTCTCAGCGGTCTATTGGTACGCGATTATATTGTGCGAACTGCGGCCGTTTTCTCATAGCAGAACGCAATTGGAGGTCCGCACAATGTAAATAACAATTTTTTCACGCGGCCAATGTGTCGAGTCGGCTGTAATAGTAGTAGGGCGGCGAATAATGTCGTTGCCACCGTGAACAGATAACGATGGTGCGACGGTTACGATTTTTTTGTTAAACCTTNCGGTGACGATTTTTTTGTTAAACCTTTCCGACAAATTACTGTAGAAATTATTATTAGACGTGCCGGAGAAGAAAAACAAATAATGCCANTGGTGCGACGGTTACGATTTTTTTGTTAAACCTTTCCGACAAATTACTGTAGAAATTATTATTAGACGTGCCGGAGAAGAAAAACAAATAATGCCATTCCACGTGTGTCGGTTACACTGTGCGGTCGATTATCTTGAAAACGCCCACGTACTCGTGTTTCTGGACACGCACGCGAGATGTTGTCTGGGAACAATACCGACGTGCCCTTTAAGGGTCCTCCTCTATACGTTTCTGTTCGACCGCCAGTTGGACGCATTGTTCGTGCCGTTAATTATTCAGCGGAACTAATACACTCGATTTCCGTACGAAACGGGTCGATAACAGTTGAGTGGACGGCGCGTTTCCTCCGAACGCGGTCGCCCACACGTGAGCCGTGCAATTTGAATACGCTAACGAGCAATCGATACCACACAGTGTACGCACTGGACGAGCGCTTCTGAGATTATTGTAGCGATTTGTCGAAAATCCGGGGGAACGGTAAATGCATCGATTGTCGCCGTCGTCGTTGCGCATTTTGTTATGCGGACGGCCATCGGGACATCACCTGCTGTCCATCGAGTTTTTCGCTGTCCGGTCATCGTGCCCGTATGATTTTATTTATTTTGCATTTATTGGGCGTTGACAGTATCCGGGGACGCGATAAATGTTTAATAAACTTCATTGGGGCCAGGCGTTGGTTGTCAATTTCGATAGGAGCCGCATATATTAAAGTACGCGTCGGAACATAAACATGCCGCCCCCTCCCCATCGGTTCTCGATTGTCCCCTTTAAGTTATTATTCTCTCGGTGCACTAAACGCAACGCGAACAACAATCGCCGAGTTATTGTGGGAAAAGCGCTTGCAAATGCACCTCGTTTTTAACGTTCATTTTCCATTATTTAGCATTATTACGGGCTAGTTTTTTCCCTGTTTTCCGTCCAATAACTGGCAGTGTAAACTGAATCTACACGAACCGACTGATACAATTTTCCACACGAATTTCCCATTGTCCAGTGTCTATTTCACCCAAAGAAAAACCTCAATCAATTTTGATAGAGAAATTTTATCAAGGGTTTATGATAATGTTTTATTAATACGAACAAAATGATTATTCTTATGAATAATTATTGTTCAGGACAAGAAAAAAAATCATCATATTGATAAATATATCATAGATTCAATAGTAATGATATATTTATCAAATTGAACAATGAATTTATTATATAGATCGAGGTTTTTCTCTGGGTGTTAGTCACGTGAAGGGTATGCAGAACAATTCAGTCTTGACGATTATTCCTAATAATTGTTGTGTTACACAAATAAAAAAAAAGATAATATCGCCGATTTCTGTTAGTGCGTCATTATTACACGAACTGTCATTTGAATGAGTTCTATTTGTACACGACGTTTGCAACTTGAGAGTTCCTATGCGCGTGCGACATTTAAGCTGTCGGTTGTCACACAGCAGTGGAAGCCATTAAAATATTTTTATGAGGTGAAAATCCATTACTAGACGCACTCATTTACCTACTGCACTAGAGTTATTTTTGCGTTGTCAACACAGGAGAGATTTATTTTTCACCATAAATCCATATTAATGCCACATAGTTTATAATTTAAGTGTTTTCTTGAAATTTAAGTAGACCGCGCCAGAAATAACGACTGGCAATCATTAAAAATATGATATTATACTGAAAAATATTCTCAACGGTAAAATAAATGAAAGTAATTTGTTGGACGTGTAAAAAGTTCATAGTAAATCAAAGATACATTGATCAGTGGTTTAAAATTGTTTCGCGAAAATTTGTCAATTCGAAGTCTAAGGTTGTTTTATATCAAAAACGTTTGGCACCGTTTTATTTTTGATTATGTTGAGACCGGCGCATCATTTAAGCGAGTCATTAATCATATCCGAGTACTTTAAACTTGCTATTATTAGGTCGTTATATAAATGCATTATTCGAGTTGAAAAGATTACTTAATCATTAGCCAAACGTAGCGCACATTAAGTGTATATCATTCTTTTCTTAATAGCTTAGTTAAGCCGTATCCAGAATGTAATCATAAACGACCATCTGAGTTACACCGTTTACACGTATAGTTTACGATTAACATTTTGCGTTGATCTGCAGACATTCAGGTAATAATATTATTATAAAATGTAATTAATAACGTGTTTTTATGTCGTCGCGTAGAAAGTGGTCGTTGCAATTAATTAATTACGTTAACTACGAACCGTCTACTTTAACGGTTTAATGTATTTTCTTAGCCATAAAACTATTTCCCGTTGACGCGCTTGCAGTTAATTTCAGATAAAGAGGACAACGTTCGAGTTTAGAAGTCTTGTTAAGATCGTAAAAGTCATCAATTGGCTGTTTACAGAAATACACACGCGGTACGCGAGGGCAATGATTTCTACCTGAACTGCTAAGATGCGCATGACAACAGCCGTATTAATTGGCCGTTACACAACAGGCACTCAATAATTAGTAGTTATGCTATTAGTGGCCACTATGTAAATATTACAAAACATAAATAGACGATTTGTTTTCATTGTTAGCGTGCGTTTGCTTTGTAAATGTTTTTTACGACTGTTTGCGAGTTTCCGCAATGTCTTCGTCTTGCAGTTTCCGGCAGATACGCGTTTTTCCGTCGGATTTCAACTCGAATTGGAGGAATTCCTACGCGGCGTTTGCGAACCACTCGATGTTGGAACACTGTCCAATAAATCTTAGAGCCGCGCTGTTGTGAACTTGGACGTTTCATCGGCCGACGTGTCGCTTGCACTCCGCGCGCGTAGTCCGATTCTGTTCTTCCGGCGTACCATATTTTTCCTAGGGATCAGCTCCTCGGTGCACGTAGCCGATAAACTCCGTTTGTCATAACGCCGTCCTTTGACGACAGTTCAGCGGGGGCCGTTGTTTCGCTTGTCGCTGAAGTCACCGCGCGCCGTTTGCCAAGTGTGGAATTGCACGTAGATCATCACGTGCACACCCACCACACGTATTAATTACGGGCCACAGCGGACTCTGCGATTTTTCGTTTTTTATGTTAGTCATAAATTATTAATACATCATTTTTTATGGTACTGCGCTGCGTTGACGACCTGCAATACACGGTGTATTTATAAAACGTTTAAACGAAAAAGTCAATCTACATTTTGGCAGTTGGCCGGCGTAGAATAATAGCGACTGTCATTAGTTGTCGACGGCTGAAAAAAAGTTTATTAATAAATATTTTAGGAGATTAGTTGACGAGTTACACTCACTTGTGTGTAATAACGCCGATTTATGTAAGTCTTCGGAAATTCGTGACACACTTCTAACGTTAACTGGTGTCTCCTCTTCCGTTCAACGCAACAGATGTCTTTATTCGTCATTAGACTTTCGCCTTTCCTCTAAACGTTTTACATTTTAACTATTTCAGTTTCGTTTTTGATCCGTCAGTTATTACCTGAGGAATAACATTTCATTACTCGGTGGTATGTGTTGCGTTTTTTTCGTATTATTATCAATCGTGTTTCTTGAAGTCGTTGAAAATCCGAGAAGATTACGATCTGAAATTGTGATGATCGCGTTGTTTTTTTTTGAAATGTACTCGAATTTCTACATTCAAAAGTTATTACTGACTTATACGTATTTATGTATTAAAAATCAATAACTCGTTGTTAATTTCCGGCGTGGAGTAAAAAAAAAATATACAATCGTTTAAAGTGTTCGTGTCGAGTGCGTTTTTCTTTCTCCCCTCTGACGCATTGTGTCGAGTAGATCGTTTTTGAGTAGTCGGCAAAAGAAAATTCCGCCACCCCTTCCGGTAAAGTGTTTTCTCGTCGTTTGTGGGCGGCTGAGTGTTCTCTGTCGACGTCCTTGGCCAGAGAGCGCTAACAGTGTACGTACACTTATAATACAGTTAAAACGACCGTTTTATTTGGTACAAACGGTTTTCTAACAACAGTAATAATATTATACGTATTACGCACACCGCACCTCCGCTGTTCCTCCAGCCGCTCTGCCTTCCCGCCCNTCTCCGCTGTTCCTCCAGCCGGCCTGCCTTCCCGCCCGGCCGCGGTGTGCGCCGGAGGAACGTGGCCGGGATCAATAAACGAACGGCGTGGGGTTGTTGAGGATGACGGTGACAGCGATGGCGACGACGACGACTATTATAACTACATAAAACACGCTAATGGCTCAATACGACGACGGGCAGAGCGTGTGCCACACGCCGACGCTTTGTGTAATACGAATTACTCGCCCTCCGCCGCGGCGCATTGTATTATTCCACTTCTCTGTCGGCGAGCGAG